GTTTTGAACTGTGTAAGCGAGTCAGAGGCTCGGACCGTATCGGGAAGGCCATTCCAGAGTTTTGGAGCTAAATGCGAGAACGCCCTCCCTCCTTTACTGGACTTCGATATCCTAGGAATGACCAGAAGCCTTGAATTTAGTGATCTTAAGGAACGCGGTGGATTGTAGGGCGAAAGAAGGTCCGTTAAGTACATAGGTGCTAAACCATTTAGGGCTTTATAGGTCAGTAGTAGTATTTTGTAGTTGATGCGGAACTTAATAGGTAACCAGTGTAGAGATGATAAAATCGGTGTTATATGATCATATTTTCTTGACCTAGTAAGAACTCTAGCAGCTGCATTTTGTACTAACTGTAGCTTGTTTATTGAGGATGCAGGACAACTGGCTAATAAAGCATTACAGTAATCTAGTCTCGAGGTCATGAATGCGTGAACTAATTTTTTCTGCATCAGAAATAGATAGCATGTTACGTAGCTTAGCAATGTTTCTAAGGTGGAAAAAGGCTGTTCTTGTAACATATGAAATATGATTTTCGAACGACAAGTTGCGGTCTAGTATAACACCCAGGTCTTTTACTGTAGTGGATAAAGTAACAGGACATCCGTCTATATTAAAGTTGTATTGTGAGAGGTTTTGTGAGTAGTTTTTTGGACCAATAAGTAATACCTCCATTTTATCTGAATTTAATAGCAGGAAATTACGCGTCATCCAGCATTTTATATCTTTGAGACACTCTGTCATTTTAGATGAGTTAGTGTTTTCATCTGGTCGTGATGAAATATATAATTGAGTGTCGTCAGCGTAACAGTGGAAATTAATTCCATGTTTTCTTATAATATTACCAAGTGGCAGCATATATATTGAGAATAGCAGAGGGCCTAAAACCGATCCTTGCGGTACTCCATAGTCTACTGACGTTATCTTTGATTTTTTCCCATTTAAACAGACAAAATGAGAACGGTCCGATAAGTACGATCTAAACCAGCTTAATGCCTGTCCCTGGACACCGGTGAAGTTTTGTAGTCGATCCAAGAGTATTATATGATCTATAGTGTCGAACGCAGCGCTAAGATCAAGTAGGACTAGTATTGAGATACAGCCTTGGTCAGAAGCTAAAAGTAAATCATTTGTAATTTTAACTAGCGCAGTTTCTGTACTATGATGCGGTCTGAATCCTGACTGGAATTTTTCATAGATATCATTTTCTTGCAAAAAAGAGCACAATTGAGCGGACACTACTTTTTCAAGTATTTTGGACATAAATGGAAGATTTGAAATGGGTCTGTAATTTGCCAAGTTATTTGGATCTAATTGCGGTTTCTTAATGAGCGGTTTTATTACAGCCAGCTTGTATATTTTTGGGACATGACCTAAAGATAAAGACGAGTTAATAATATTGAGGAGAGGCTCTTCCACTGCAGGTAATAGTTCTTTCAGTAGTTTAGTGGGTATTGGATCTAATAAACAAGTTGTTGGTTTAGATGCAATGATAAGTTTATTTAGCTCCTCCTGTCCTATCGTTGTAAAGCGGTTTAGTTGTTCTAGAGGGTCCATAATTGAAGCTGAATCATAAGACACCATAGCGGATTGTACATTTATAATTTTGTTTCGGATGCTTTCTATTTTCGCATTGAAGTAATTCATAAAATCATTACTACTAAACTGTAAAGGTATATTTTGCTCTGGTGATGTCTGTTTATTTGTTAGTCTAGCCACGGTGTTAAATAAAAACCTTGGATTATTTTGGTTATTTTCGATTAGTTTGCGGAGATGCTCAGCCCTGGCTGTTTTTAGTGTCTTTTTATAACGTGACATACTGTCTTTCCACGCGATTCTAAAGACCTCTAAATTACTTTGTTTCCATTTACGCTCTAAGTTGCGAGTTTCTCTCTTGATAGCATGCGTAGCACTGTTGTACCATGGTGCTTTAATTTTCTCTCGAACCTTTTTTAATCTAATTGGCGCAACAATATCTAATGTACTGAAAAGTCATTAAAGACATCGTTAAAATAGTCCAAGTGACTACAGGGGCTCAATCTTAAATTTATCAAACGACGAGAACACTTTTGTGCGCAAAAAAACAACAAAAATAACGACTTTATTTCAACTATTCACTTCCTTCTCCATGAGCCTGTAAGTCAGTTAACGTAGTGTGATTGCGTAGAGCTACGTCACACGTAGGCTCACTATTGGCCGACGCTGGTCATGTGTGTGTGATGCGTGTGACGTACAATAACAGAAGCTTACGCTATTAAACTAGTAACCTGACTCGCGCAGAGGGAGAAATAAACGAATAGTTGAAATAAAGTCGTTATTTTTGTTGTTTTTTTGCGCACAAAAGTGTTCTCGTCGTTTGATAAACTTAAGATTGAGCCCCTGTAGTCACTTGGACTATTTTAACGATGTCTTTAATGACTTTTCGAGGACAGCAAGAGCCAGTCCCTCAAGAAGCCTATGGACTAGGGGTGGCACGGTACATGAAAAAACACCCGAACCGTTCGGTTCGCTTGTCTCGGTTCGGAGCGTGTGTGCGTCTCACGGTTCGACGCATGCGCAATGTAACCTCGTGCCCGTATGTGACGTGTGTTTTCTTTTCGCGCGACATGAACTTGTTCGACTTGGACCGGCGCTGCACAGAGCGACCGGTGAATAACATCAATCTAGCGCGAGTCGGCTCCGTATGCATTCATCACTTTCGCGGTATTTGATGTCATTACCGATCGCTCTGTGCAGCGCCGGTTCAAGTTAGTAAACAAGCCAGTAAAAGTGGAGTATGGAGCGCTGCAGGTCACGGCACGCGGAGAAATGGCAAGTGGGAGGGATGAGGGAGTTGGAGGATGCGCCAGCATCGTATAAGTATTAGTATTAGTCTATGGTATAAGTCCGGTGTGTGGGAACATTTTGGATTTCATGTTATGATATTTTAATTTAACTACAGTGGCACTTTATGTATAGATAAGAGCTTCAGTCATACGTTTCCAAATCCTGCACTTTAATTTTAAGTGGAAAAAAAGTACCCTCACATTTTGGGAATAGAAGCATTGTTGATACTGTTTTTGTGTTGAGGTTGAACTTAAATTTCACTTTATGTTTATGGCCTTTGCTATTACTATAGCTTAATTATCTATAGGCAATGAGGTTTCATGTATATTGACATTTAAAAGACAGTGTTTTAAGAGTTCCTCTCTTTTTAAAAGATAGAATTTTGGTAAGAGCTACAAAAGTTAGCAGTTGATACATGAAAGTTAATTTCTTTGTGTAAATAAGATTTATGTGATAAAAATGCACAAGTTCTTGTAGAGATAGTGATACACATTCTCCTTTTTTTGCCAAATAAACAAAAAGCATGTCAATTTCTTCTCTCTTGCTGTATCTAAATCTCACCTAGCTTTCCTCTGAGATAGTCCCAAAATGTGCTTAAAGTCAAAGAGTCAAATTCAGTTTGTGCATGATTGCATGAATATAATATATATATTTTTTAATACTGTATCCTAAAGTGTGGATAATTAAGCTATATATCACATGATGAAGTACATTTCTGGAATGTTAAAGATTAAAAGAAAAAATAACAAGAACCGTACAGAACCGAAAACCGTGACCCCAAAACCGTGATACAAACCAAACCGTGGGTTTTGTGAACCGTGCCACCCCTACTATGGACTGTATGCAGGAGCGATCTTAATATCTTAAATATCTTAATTTGTGTTCCGAAGATGAACGAAGGTCTTACGGGGTTGGAACAACATGAGGGTGAGTAAATACTGACAGAATTTTCATTTTTGGGTGAACTAACCCTTTAAATACAATCGTTGCCAAGTCTGCAGTCTGAAAACTTTACCTCAGAGCATCCGTTAACTGAATGAATTGAGAATCTTACCTGAAAAACCCAATAGCATCAGCAATTGTCATTCAAGCAGCTGATTTCTGTAAATGAATGCAAAACTAAATGTATATTACAGCATAGGGTGAAGTCAGGATACATTAGCAACGATTTGAGACAAAATAATTTTAATTTTATATAAAACTATGTAAATGGAACTCTGTGGCGCAGCAGGATTTTGAACACGGTCCTGAGCCGTTGCTGGGTGCCGCGGACAGACGCCGAATGGCGCCGCCAGTGTGTGTACACTCGTTGAGAATTTTAAAGATGTGCCACTCCACAATGCGGCACTGAGCTTCTCGTCCGGTGTGCGACCGCCTTTACGGGGTTGGAACAACATGAACAATAGTAACATAATTACTGACAGAATTTTCATTTTTGGATACCCTTTAAACCTGTTTATGTCAGTTAAGGCTGTTTTACATGATAGTCACATGCTCAGATGCACAAACATGTTTGACCAGCTGTCATCTTGCTTGAAGTGCTTTTAGTGATGCTAACCATTTCGCTAACTTCCTCTCTCAAAACCAAGCACAAACATGGGATGCTAATACTAATTCTGTGAGGTCCTGTAAAATATGGGTCATGATAAAACAGTTCAAAGACTTTTAAGCTATAAGCAAGCTGAAATGGAATGGCTGTTTCGACAAATGCTTTTTTAACTCATGTTTCCTTTTGTCAACACTATCGGTTAGGTTTAAGTGTGTGGTGTTCGATACGATAGAGCATTAACCTTTTAGCGATACTCACAAGACATTTCATTTCTGAAGAGCCGTGATACATACAACAACTTGATAAAATGTTGCCAGATTTACATTTATTTGTTTCCGATAAAACTAGACATGCTTTTAGATCCACTCTCTTCTCATTTCACTTTAAAGGTGGAACGTAATATCATTTGGCAGAAAAATGGCTAAACGCCTGGGGTTGTAGATCTGTGAGATAGAAGTGGATATGTTTTGTGTTCTGTTGCTTAAAAAAATCACTTTTGACTGTGTTCGGTAGAGCATGTTGTGTCATTGTGTTTGATTGCGTGTTGTTTACTCACAAGAACAATGCTTTTATTCTGCCCTCCTTCTGATCCTCTCGTTTCTGTCAATACCCTCTCTGCTATTTTTCACTTCACTCTCTGGTGGTGTTGATGGACAGGATCAGTTTATGAACAGTGGTGAGGTTTCATCTTTTTTATTATCTTTATTTACTTTATTTATTTTTCGTTTCCTAAGACATCTGTGCTTCCATTGTCTATTCCATTCACTAACAATGATGGTGACTTTTTAAAGATTTTCATAATACAGTGTCACATTCCTCTTTCTTGCTAATTCGCTACTTAATTTATCTTAAGTACACATTTAAATAACATGTTCACAGTTTTGCATAATGTTATACTTTCAGCTTGAGGTTCAGTTGACAGGTGCTATTTTGTGTGATTTTTCGATTTCTTCACAATTCTGCTGAAAAATTCCGCATTGCTGGTCATCAGCATAATGTTTTGCATGCTGGGACCAGCATTGGAAGCGGGAGAGCTGTTGGACCAGCTACACCAGCTCAGTTTTGCTTGAGAACAGAATGACTATGCTGGAATGTAACATGGAAACCAACACGGAAATCTGGTTTGTGCTCTGAATTTTTCAGCAGGGATATTTAAAACACTAACTTGTCACTTGTGGAGATGATGACACAATTGTGGTGCGGTTGTAATTTGTTTCATGCTAAAATGTTCCAGGACCATTTTAATGTAACTTTCATATACATACATTTTTTTAAATAAATGGGCTAATTCTGTTAGTTTTCTTAAAAACCAACACCTGTAATATAAATGTGCCCATTACAGAAACACCCACATGCTAACCACCCACACATTAACCTGCACACACATCTACTTGCTCTCACACACTTGCATGACAAAGTAGGAATGTGATGTAAGAGATAAAGCATAAACAGAGTGGATAAGAGAGGTGAGTGAGTGTAGAGAGAGAGAGAGATAGAGAGGAAGTGTGTGGCAGCCTCTGGTGCCTCATCATTCTGTCTCACACATTCTGACTGATGTAGTAAACTTGACTGCTCCTTATTCAGGCTTCTGTTTAATGTTGCAGCTCTGATTGCACTCATAAGGCACATACAGGAAGAAAAAAAAAACATTAGAGTTTAGAAAGCATGAAATGACAGGTAACATTAGTCATGTGACCCCTGAGATAGTTATAGAGGTCAGGTCCTAAGGGAGGCTCTGTAGTTCTCTGCATGCTAGATCATTTTACTGAACCTGTTCATAAACGCATGCATTCATGTTTAAATGTGTGTGTGTTTTGTCCTGTGTGAAGTGTGAATGCGGTGCCTCAATTAAAGGAGACAATACTTTACAATTACACTTGCCAAGTTGTGCTCTTTGTGATTAAAACTGGGATTTGGTGAGGAAATGACTTTTGATGGCCAATAACTTTGATGTTATTTCCTTGTTTAAAGCCATTTAAATTAATATATGAATAATAAAATAATGTTAGCATGAAGCATACATAGTAGTAGTAGAATACTTTATTGTCCTTGAAAGAAAATTTGTTTTGGACTACATGTTGCTGCATTTACATATAAATATAAAATATAAAAGAGAGGAAAGACAGTTGATTTTACAAATATAAAATTGATAAGATAGACTGTTATTCAGCATTCGTACAGACACAGGAACAAAGGAATTCTTACCAATTTAGTTTGCACAATGGGACTCTATATCTTCTACCGTAGGGGAGCATTTCATACTGTGAATACAAAAAGTGAGTTTGATCCCCCTTGATTTTCTGTACCTGATTCAGAGTGCAATTCTCATATAAATATTGGCGATTCAAATATTCCTCATGTCCAAATGTTTTTAGTGCTGTCATCAACACCAGATGTGCCAATTTAGATTTAAGCTGTATAGGTAGCTTAATGCATATTAGCATTTTTATTTCCCTATATTCTTTATAATGTAACTTATTCCTGTGATGGTGATACTGAATATTCAGCATGTCACATGATTCTCCAGAAATCATTCTTGGTGCTCAAGAAACTTTCAGAACAAACTCTTCTTACAATGTTGAAAACAGCCGTGCTGCTTAAAGGGGTGGTTGATTGCGATCACTTTTTTCATTTTAAATAGTGTGTAATGTTGCTGTTGGTGCATGAACTGTATCTGCAAAGTTTGCTGTGCTGAAAGTTCAGTGTAAACAGAGTTATCGTCTTTTAAAAATCAGGATGTTTAATGCCTGCAAAAACGACTCGATTGGGACTACAGCGGGTTTTATACGTAACTAACCCATACATTTGCATCAACCCTCCCTCCGGAATATGCAAAAAAGGGCATGGCCATATTTCTGCGGCTCGTCGAAAGTGTTATGTTCAGCCAGCTGTCAGGTCTTCTGTATTCAGGCTTCCTACAGATGTTGTAGTTCGTCAACAATGGATACAATTTATGTTTTATTATGTTAGGGTTGATTATGTTAGGGACAGGAACTCATATGCAACTTCGCCCATAAAGGTAATGCGCGTGAATTTTCTGGACAACGTGCACTACAGTTTAGCCAATCACAACACACCGGCCCAAACTAACCAATCTGAGCCCACTGCCTGTTTCTGAGGCTCAGGAAGTCAACCGGTCGTTCAAATGACAGAGGAGAAAGCGCCTTACAATAAAGGTGAAATATCGTTAATATCGTTAGACCACTTGAATATCTGAATATTTGTAATGATGTCGATGTCTACCATGTTATGGCTCTCTTTTTGGTGTTATAGGATGCATCTCTTTCTGTCTTTTAGTCAAAATCAAATTGTATTACTTTGTCTATACAAATCACAATATTTCCAAAATATGGGATGTATAAATGGTCTCTCTCGCCATCTTTCCATATGATGAATGAGGTATATCATATCTTGTGCCCTCTCACCTTCGCGAATGCCCCAGTTTAGCAGCCAAGCAAAACCAGCTCTGCCTGGCGCCCCATCAGTCATCACACATGCAGTGTAACACTGCAGGCACAAATAGAATCATGTCAGATAGCACGAGCCCAGGAAATATGAAAACAAATAGCCCTGTGTTTGGCTAATAGCTGTCATTTAAGCATCCACCCTGAGGGAGAAGAGAGAGGAAGAAGTGAGTCTGTGTCATGTATACAGACGGTAATGAGGTGAGCAGCGAGAGGCTATTCCTTTACCACTACACCACTGATGAGGAGGGTAGTCATGTGGGACGAAGTGAAAAAGCAGGTCTTTCTCTCCCTTCCTGTCTTTCTAGCTCTCTTTGTCTTACCGTACCGTCTTTCGTTTTCTTGCTAGTGGTTTCTCTCTGTTTCTATATTTATTTTTTAACATTTGGTTTGCAATTTTTCAGCAAATTAACTCATTTAATGTGCATGTATTTGTTATGTAAAGATGTCCAGTTTTAGAAGTAAAAAGTATTGGTTCAGCACAATGTCGTTGCTGGGCTCAAGAGAACGGAGATTTTTGTCACACTGTCAAATAAGCACTTAAAGTCTGTATTTTATTTTAAAACATTTTTTTTTAGTGATGTCAAACTTTGCATTGAACAGCATTGCTTTAGTGTCTCGTAACATGTTTTGCCAAGTTTGAATATTTGCCAGCACAAATAAGATTGGGAAAAAAATGGAATAAAATATAATAGAATAACTGGGCTCCAGACTAATTTTTTTTTTTTTTAATTTTAGACTGAAAATTTTAGGAGCTTGCAATGCAATTATTCAAATTTTCCCCAAATTAACTGTAATACTGACAAATTATTTAATATTAAATTGACTTAAAATGCAGATATTACAATATTATTACAGATATTGCAGTTTTATTTTAGGTTCACGGGGCTCCAGACTCAAATTTGAGGGCAGCACCACCAGAGCCACTGAGTTCTACAAAACAATTATCTGGTAGCATATTAAGGAGTGAAAATAGCCAATAGTTATAGTTTTGAAGTGCTGGAAAAAGATGTTTAGTACTTGTAAGCGTTTGACTGTTTCTGTCACAATATCATATTTATAGTTAGAGTTACTACATTAGCCCAAATCCATGGTGAATGTTGCTGATTTGTGGATTGAAAGCCTTCTGTAAGTGTTTCTGCTGGTTTCCACATCAGCGCTGTTTGATCTGATATCTATAGTTTAGAACAACGCTGAATCGGAATGTTTCTCACTGGATCTCGTAGCGATGATGTTATTAATTCTGAGGCGAATTCAATGGATTTCTTTACTGGTTCTCCTAGTAACAGTGTCGCGTGATCGAGAACGGCCCGTGACTGGCAAGTTCGGGAACACTTTCCAAACTCTTTCCATATAAACTCTTTCACTGCAAGCAAACCCAGTCTCCATTAATTCCCAAACTGGAATACTATTTCACTTTGGTAGCAGCTAGAGGTTAAGCTAGAGGATTGTTGGCTGGAGAAAGCATTCCTATGGGGATATTTTGAATTCTGTAGCTGGATTTCCTGAGCGGAAAATAGTCAGGGGGAAAGTAGATGAATGGGAAGGCTGCATCTCCTCGCTTGACCATGGCGTATTCTTCCGAGTTGCCATAATAATAATAGTGGTAAGTTTAGAAACTATTAAAAACTATTTAAAAATGGCGGAGATATTCTGGATACTCCATCTGGCGCGTGCAATGATGACGCAGTGAATGGCGACGATTTTCTTTGACCAATCAGCAGTCGGCATTGTTTTCACGTCACATTTTAGTTCTGGCTCAGCTCACCTTAGCTCGCTCAAAACCTCGCCAGAGATGATACTAAAAAAAGTATCCGAAAGCAGGTACAAGTACAAATTTTACACAGTGGAAAACCAAACAAAGGCGAGCCGAGCCAAGTCGAGTCGAGCTGGTACTGTGTAGTGGAAAAGCGCCATTACAGTGGCCATTTCCTATTCTTGTCACACTCATTGGCCTGCCATTCATTCCGGGTTCATTGACACGCCCCTTCCATGTTTATCGTGTGGCAATTTACTGGTCGCACATGTGCGACTGGATGTAAAATTGAGACGCACACTATCAAATTTTGATTGCAAAATGTGACCATTTGGTCGCAGTCTGGAGCCCTGAATTAATATATGAGAACATTCTTTTTTAAATATGTGTGAGTTTGAACATTCTTCTAAATGCCTACTTTCGTGTTCCCCAGAAGAAAGTCATATGGATTTGCAA